GTCTTTATTCAACTAATTGTATTGCAAACAATTTTTGTCTCACCTGCATGCATCACTTTCACGAACGGAAACAAATAAACCCATTTACATTGTTGACTGATTGAAATGAAGTACAGAAGCATTCTGTACGTGAATGCTAAGAAGGATCGAAGTCATTATAAAAGAATCTTGATTTATTTCCATCCTTTCTTATCTGACAGGTATTGTAAAACTGTTGACATCATAAAATACGTTTACATATAGATGATTTTGAATAAATCGTATTTAATATAAGACAGATATTTTTCTATTATGGTTTAATTGAATTAACGGTTTTGAACGTGTTCTTTTTTCATTATTTGGCCATTTTATTTTCATACTCTACTTGTTTACGTTGCTTAATGAAATATATATAGGTTATATTAGAAAGATTAACATACTTCAAAATAAGTAATGTCAACGTAATGTTAAAGTAATCATGAATCTACGACAGAAAACGTCAGTGTCGCCCTTAACAAAACCGAAAGCGTAATGCACACGTACATGTGTAAGGTAAAAGCGCAACGGATATACGCATTTATCTAGAGTTGCAAACGAACGCTTCCGGTCCGTAGAAAGAGGGCACTTGGTCAGCGGGTCCATTCCGGGGGCCTTGGATTCCCAGGATCGCGAGTGAGAACTCGCGCATGCTTGTCTCTCTCTTTCTCGCTTCCTCTGACCGGTTCACGCACATATTATACTCGAGAAAACGATCGTCTTTACGAGCGAGATAAGAGTAAGTTCCTTTTCGCTTGTTTTTGGCATTCTCCAATCGTGTTTTCCGACGTACAGCTGATAGCTCACAATTTGCTAGAGATGCGATAGGTATAGATAAACGAACTGCTTCTTGTAAGAATAGAGTCAAATAGAAGACCGAATGTTTTTTTTACTTACAGTGCTGTCGGTAGAAACTATTTACACTTCCATGCAAATACCGTTTACGCTTTTACGGAAAAAATCTATTGCATATATAAAAAGTAATTGAAAGTATCAAGATATTATAATAACAACAATAATTATAATAATGTTATGTGTGGCTCACATAACAATAATAATAGATACATAATTTATCTCAATCAATATAATTGAGATATATTTGGTTCTTCTGCATGAAAAAGAGTAGTCTTTTCTACAAGAAAGAAGGTCGAAGACCACGTAGTATTAGTAATAGCAGAATGCGTAGTTTCCTCTTCAGAAGGAGAATCTAAGAACAATATTATACGAGAAGTATTAGTTCGGCTAAGTTTCCCTAAATCCTCCAAGTATAACTCAACTATACATGTATTTACTAGGTACAAAATAAAATATCAATCGATTTTTAATGTGAACATCAATAAATTATCATCTATATTCGAACATAAATATTAAGTACTTTTTCAGAACTAGTTAATTGTAGATAGAATTGAAATTTGTTTCTTTGAAATTAAAAATTTGAAAACCACACATAATGGCTAAATTTGATGTGTATACTGTAGTACATAAAAAAGTAAAATTGTTATGCGAGTATTTCGCAAGTGCTTAAAGACAGTTTTGATATCAACTTTTTCCGGCAAGCAATTATTGTATAGAAATTATAATAATAAGGATTCAAAATTTGTTGCCCTGCAAACCCTCCATGATAAACTTTGATAGGTCGTGTACGAAAAGATCAGCATCAATTTCCTCGTATATATAATTAATATGATTGCCTGGAGTATTATAAGTAGAATATGTATTTCACTTATACTATAAACGCCTGAGATAAAAATCTGCAAAAATAAAAAGCTTAACAACAGATTATGTTAAAAATCTCATAACTTAAATGACTTTCTAAGAACTGCATCAATCGAGCTGAAAGTTTTTTCGGATAATATATAGCAACAGCAACTTTCCATTCCATAGATAGGATCATTCACAAATTAATCTGCGGAAGTGAGTGAAAAAATGAATGACTTTCGCAGGAGCACAGAATTACCGTATAAGAGTCTTGCGAGCCGCCACTTCGTAACTATTTCGTATCTATTCGTATGCGACTTGCCACCACGAGCAGTGATGGATATACTTGACTTTTGAAAATAGAAACAAATCGCAGAAAAGAAGAAAATATATTTACAACACCTTACAACAAGTTTGGACACTGAACTAGCGCAAAATACATGAAAGTAGTCAAAGTGGACGAAATTTATTTCCTTTGTACAGTATCCGATCGATTGACACCATCATTTTGAAACTGTTAAGATTATAATTATCTGGATTGCTTCGTAAAAAATAAGCAGGGCTTTCCGTATACGTTGATATCAGATATTTGATTCATTTATAAAAAGCCATTTGTTATTTAAAAAAAACACTTGATTCGAATAATAAGTGAGATTGTTAACTCGCCACGTGTTTCTGGGAATGACTATAGCTGTTCTAGTTCCTTTAAACATTAAAACGAGCAAAAATCAAATAAAAATAGTCACCGAGAAACTTGCAACAACGTGAATTCACAAGAGAAAGTAACAAGACCTATAGAAAGCCTGAAATGTGAGTCAAGTTTGCGCGTACTTTTGATTTCAACGGCATTTGGCGAGTGAAAAAAAAGGGAAGACGATTGTGAAGCGAATCGTAACGATCGGCAATTTCACTAGTAAAGACAACGGGGCAAAGAAATGGCAAAGTGCGATTTGTTTACTTGCAGGTGACCTAGATACACGGCGAAACCGAATCCGCCTTCGATGCGGATTAATATCGTTCGCTCTACCAGAACTCGGACAGAGTAACGATGAGAAACTAGGCTCGCTATGCGGGCGTGTGTCTACATGCGAAAAGAAGTAAAGTTTCCGCAGCTGTGTGATATGGCTGTAATGTCCGGTATTATAGGTTTAAGAATGAATGGATGGATGAATGAACAAATGAGACACAACTGTTTTAGAAATCTGATATAAATAATTGTCGCGATTTGAGCCCTATGATAATGAACGGATATATCAGGTTTTCATGCGCGAAGATCAAGCTTATAAGCAAGTAATATTGAAAATAAATATCGTACATTGATGATAGAATGATTTAACTGTTTTATCACGATCAAGTAACATAAAGCATACTAGACTTCGGTACATAATTAATTATTCAAAACTGCAAATTCTACTTTTGCATTTTTTTTCGACCTCGTATAAATCTCTCTACATAAAATTCATCGTTTTTCCATTTTCAAAATCCATTTTACTTCTCAAAAAGAAGCATGTAAAATTACTCAAATGATCATAACCCATTGAGAATTAATGTTTCGATCCATTGTCTATGTTCTGGAATAAATCAATTACAAATCAAAATAATTCTGATAAACGTTATAATTATTTCATAAAAACATGTAAACTATTTCTTGATATTGTAATTAATTTATTATAAAGTACGATTTGACAACATTTCTGAACAAAAGTGCATTTATTCGTTTCCAAGTACAGTAGTTATTTAAATTTGAGTTAACAAGTTTTTTAAATCACTTCTCAAGATATAATGAATTTTTAAAGCTTATCTTATTTCTTTTTAGTACGATAAATTAATATTATATTATTTCTATTGTGAAAGTGTTTGATGCACATTGACCTACATAACTGCGTACTGAAAGTAAAACTTGTCATTTTACATTGATGCTATGAACATCAACGCTCGATAGACTCATACCTTTAAGATACAGTTGTAGGAGTTTTGTATATTTTTACGTGTGTAATGTTAGTTCAACACAACTTTCCTGAATTTCAAAATTAATCAATAAAATTATACAGAATAAAATATTAATTATTTGTGGACGCGAGAACAAGCAATTTATTACTTATACCTGAATGTAAAAGTCGATTTATTATTGTACAGCGATACATTTGCTGTTATTACGAACTAAGCGTAAGCTTTTTTCCGTTCATTTTAATCTGAATAGAATTACGACAGGACATATCCTTTGTTGGTTTTATTTCTAAAAGAATGGGTTTTGAAAATGGTTTCAATGCCAAGATTTTTTACAGATGTCATTCAAAATTGTTCGAAATAAATTCATCATTGTAGTTGTTAACATCATTAATATTGTATTTCCTATAATTCAAAATTTTATATGATTAGAGTGATATACAGGAGTTTATTCAAAGCAATGAAGTATTGTTACCAATGATCTAGAATAGCTACATTAATTAAAAATGGAACATTGATTTTTATTATGATGGTAGTCTGAAAATATCAATATTTAATTTTTTAAGATAAATTATATAAATTACGATCGAGTGAAAAATTACTACCTTGTATTCTCCGGAATTCTTAAAACAAGCGCCGAGAGTCAGTATTAGCTTTAAATTATCTCCTTTTTGATCACGAATGATAAGTTAATTTTATGTCCTTTCCATAACTAGAAAAGTTGAACATCGAATAGTCACGAGTGTATTGGCTGTGATTGGTGATTATATGATAGTGCAATTAATTTGATGTTTATCAAGAATATTTTATTTCTTTACGTTCTTATAAAAAGTTTTTACATGAATATATTAGTGAAAAAAAGAATATCTATTACATCGAAGTCATGTTCATGTATATGGCAATGAAGGCGATCAATAAATATCATTCATAGTAAAAACATCTGATACATTAACAAAACATTAACAATGGATGGTATCTTGGTATTACAATGTTTTTCGATGGGAATGTAAAATTAATAAAACTAAACTTAAACCAACTATACAATATTTCACATAACAATCCAGCTCATTCTCATATTTCTCGTAGAAAATTTTGCAAAATAAATTTCAAGAGCTTGCAAAATTGTAGCTACCATTTGATACGAAAATTCTCTATGGATTGCTACTCCGTTAATGATTATCTTTCATTCATAAATTAATGGTATAATGTTCAATTTTGTTCGTTAGTTTCCTATTAATATATTTATAATTTTCTATCGTGTTAATCATCCGTCAGGAAACTGATCTAAACTTTGGCTCTTACTTAATAATAACTCAAATAAATAATAGCAACGGTTAAGTCTATTTCTGGTAATCAGGTCGGTAACCTTGGTAAGCTAACTCTTGACCAAAATTTACATTACCATCGTGTTCATGGTGAGACTGGAAGGGACCATGATTATGAGATTCGAATCCATGGTTTTCTTTGTATGGGCCACCGGGGAATCCTATACCACTTTGAGAGTATATCGGAGGAGTATATGTTTGCGTTATGGGTTTACAAATTTTGAAAAATCCGATAAGACCTGGAATGACGATTGCCAAGAAGCCAAGCAATTTTTTGAATGATGCCAAACCAAGGATAAGTGGTAAAAATAATAAAAGCTTTAACTTAAAGAGCTTTAAAATAATCAACATAGGAATGAAGAGCTTCCGTAGACGATGCCGAGCTAAAATTAGAGATAAATTCAAATTAACATCATTCCTTGAAAATTATACAAATAATAAGTAAAATTATAGTTACAAAATAAAGTGTCCTTTTTGTTCTCTATTACGTCAATCTCATCAGCTATTTCATCAAAAAATCTAGGAGCGTAAACTTCATTTTCGCCGGTTAGCCAAGTTGGCACGGATACTTCAATAGCAGTAGTTTTCAAAAATTTTTCAGCTTTTCTCATTGCGAATTTTACTAACTGTTCCCACTCCGAATCAGCTGACCTGATTGAGGCAATATTCAAATTAGTTTCCATGTCTAAGATAATTTTACGAAAAAAATCAACATTATTACCGTGAAGTACTAGAATATTCATAGGGCTCACTAGCCACACGTTTAACAATATCTCTCGACATTTGTATGATTTTAACATTATCATTCAAATTATATTGTTGCTGGTCAAAAAAATCCGAAAATGTATTCAAAGCTCTGGATTTGAAACATTCAGAGAAATCACCGTTTAAGCACCCTTCATTTGTTTTGGCTAAGTATGGATCAATGTTCTGACCTGTTCCTAAACCAATCCAATCCAACAAGTTTCTACCCTGACGAGTGTCATTAAATTTTCCCTCAAACTCCGGATGAATCTGCCGCTCACCCGGAAATTGTGCTGCACCTATTGATAAGAAGTTGTATTATTTATATGAAAAAGTTATTTATATATATATTCGACAAAAGATATTCAATATTCAAGTTGAAATTTTCGACAAAAAATGTTACCGCGGTTAAATGAATGATCTTCCTTGTCATTGTCCTCGAAGGTAACCTTGTCTCCACTGACAGAGCTCAACATTACCGCGAGCAGGATAATCCATGTTATCGGCAGCGGGTCGAGTCTCATTCTACCGGCGTCTCCTTTCTCCTGCAAGAATGAGTCGGTTTTTTACATTTCACGTGAAAGTATAGCGATTGATCAATTTTTATCGTCACTTCACTTTTTAAATTATCGATTGTGATAAGAATTCAATATGGTCTAATATTTTACCACCTTAATGAATATTTTGACACACCTATACATTGTTTGTTATATTGCACACAAATTATAAAACAAGTTTAGTGATTTGGCGATTAATTTGATAACAGAAACGCACAGATTTTACAATAAACGACTAATGAACTACACAAAAATATAAATCATGCTTAGATGTTTTACCAAAACTAACATAAAAACTTTAATTTTCTGACAGCATTTCTTCATGAATTTTGTACTAATATATTTCTAAGGAAAATATAATGTTACAAAGCGTTACACGTCTATAATCGTTTATCCATCGCCTTGTGTTGACAATATTAAAATCTGCTGTTACATATTACTCCTACTTGGAATTTTCAAATGTGAATATTATTAACAAATATTAATAACAAATCGGTTCTTTGTAAAAAATATATTCATAAAAACCATACACCTTATAATAAATCAACATAAAAATATTTCAAGGTAAATTTAAAAAAAAACATTATCATTACATTATACTTATTTTTGACACGCACAAATTTTTTACCGGTTCGACACCCACATTCCAAAAGTTCGTCATTAATAATTCACATACCGAGGATCAAAACTTAAAGAAAAATTCAATAAAAATGAATCCCCTTCTAAAAAAGTGTAAATACTCTTACCGGTACGACAGCTCATATTTCCAATTTTCCCGTAGGCTAAGCTTATCGCGTTCAAAATAAAGAAAATCGGCACCACTATGACGTGCCGCGTATGTATCGAATGCACCTGTTGCTCTCTGCCCAAGTATACCGGACTCTGAAGCGTGCTATATATGCGTGTAGTCGTCAGCTGCGCGTTTATGGTCAAAGTCAACGATTTCCCGTTATATGAGAGAGTAAGAGCCACTGCGCACGCCCGCGCTCACTCGCATGCGCGCGCGAGTTTTCAATGGCTTAGATCCTCTTTTTCAAACGTACGTGCCGTTTAACGCGTGAGCAAGCGAAGGTAAATAACATGCCTTTGGACGACGGAGACAACCTACTTATTTCGGAGTTCCGTTTATTTTATGCGATTCGGTTGCGGCGACGCTTTGCGAACTTTCCGAGGAATGCCTTCTTCTCACTTCCACCGATGCGATCGTCACGGTACATAATTCACTGAGTAGATTTTTGTGGCAAAGTTCTGAGCATAGAGGTTTTAAGATTTTAAGTCATCGAGATGTTATTTTTGTGGCGGTGACATTGGGGTTTTACTTATGTTTCAACTTAGCTATGAATAAAAAAATTGAAAAGGTACTTAGAATAGAATTTATCTTTTTTGTGGATATTATTAAAAGAAATGAATCTGTTGATAAAAGGTTGCAACATTTTAGAAAAATATTTTCTTTTCAATTTTTAATGCAAAGTTTAAATCTTATTATCTTATCAACAAGATATTAACGTCAAAACGATTACGTTACTCAATCCATATCTGTGACTAATATATTGTGAGTTAATTGCTGAACAATTCATTTTCAACTAAGCTTTTCATACCAAAAATACTATTTTATCGTAGAAAAGGAAACACTAAACTGACAAAACTGCAATTGATTTAGACATCGACAATCAATTCCTTAAAACTTCAAAGTAAAATAAAAGGTCTCTTAGTTCTGTAAGAAACATTCTTATTCTTCACGATAAATTTCACTGCACACCATAAACATTTCTCACTGAAGCTTTAAAACTTACTTTCTTCGAAGTATTCACTGAAAAAATACAACAGTAACTGCAGATGGTCGAAAAGTTTGTGTCCATGAGATGCCCTAACCACTGAGATATATACGTTGCGTCCGAAAGGGTGGGGTTGTGGAGAAAGAACGCGGGTCATTCCCGCTGTTGTGTGGTAGGAGAACAAGTGTGCACCACAAGAGAAAAAACGCGCGTTACAAAAATCGAGAGTGAAAGTGATCTTCCAGGACGCAGATCCGGAACTTGAACGCGTAACAGAGATGGTACTTGCGACACATCACTCGGACGTCAACATAGGCTTAAAAATTAAATAATTATGTGATTTCTTTCTGTTTGGCTTACGTAACTGATTATTCATACGTTGTGCTTGAGATTTCAAAGATTTATCATTTCATTTAAGGTCATCTTCTTATTTCTTAAGGATACTTTCTAGTCGTTAAAGCTATTGCTTTCTTCGTTGCGTTTTTAATGTGCCGTTAAGTTTATGTAAGATTACAAAAACATGGAAAAGGTTCATTGAAAATGACTTCAAAGAAAATATAATGTAGTCGCTTTCAAACTGACAATTCATATTTTGATATCAATAACAGCTTTCGAAAATTTCAATTTTTATTATCAAGATTAAAATAATTAAGAGAAAACTTAGAATTATAATTTAGAAAAATCTATTGCCAAAAGTCATCTTTGGATAGTAGTATTATTATCGGCAAAATATGAAATTTTATTTATAACAATAAGTAACTTTAAGCTCATAGTAATTTTGCAGAATAAAAGCAAATAGTGTACTTATGAAAACCTTTGTATATGTATTAAGATAACTCAGATATTGGGTAATCTTGGGAATACCCGCAAGAAAGTTCTTTGACCCTGAGTTCGTCATGCGCGTAGTAGCTTGAACGAGCTAAAACTTTCTCATATCTCCAGTGTTACAGCAATCTTTATCGAGCTTCTTATTCTTACTATAAAGGACTCAGTCACGAAAAAATTGATGCTTGTAATACCAACACTAACAAATTTTTTACTTAAACACTAAATTTTAATTGTTTCAAAAGTAAATTGAATTGTCATTAAAATGTTACAAGTAAAGTAAATTCACTTAATTATAACTTTAACTTATAACTTTATTAACATCAAAAATGTCAACAATTCGACGTTTTAAGACTATACACCTTTTTCGATGATATCCGTCACTTGACTGTTCATACATTCCATTAAAGTTTAAAAGATATGTTTAATTATAACTGTACTTAGATAATATTATTCGCTCTTTCAATTCATACAAATCAATAGCACACAAAATAAATATCAGAATTATTAAAAATAAATAAAATACATGCAGGAAGATTCACAAAGATATAACAAATGAGTTTTCGAAAAAGAAATGCTTTTCATTTTTAATTAAAGATAAATAAATTAAATAGAATAAATATATAAAAATGTCATTTTTTCTTCAAATACGAAAATAAATGATAATAACTAACTGAAAACCATTATTTTTCAAAAACTCTATCCTTGTAAAATAAACAAAGAAACAACTTCTCAGGAGAGTAAATATATCATTGTTCCATAGATTATATTTTGAAGTAAATAAATTGTATTTGTCACTTCAAATTTTATTCCAAATTGTATCTAATTGGTTTCATTAAATTTGATATTGTATAAATTATTTTTTTAAGAAACCATTGCCTTCGTAATATTGCCATTGACAAGATCTTTCATGGCGGTTTGTGTCTCATCTTTATAAAATATACAAAGTAAAATATCTACTTTCATTAAACTAAATTCAAATTTTGATTTATTTACAATAACTATAAAAATTTTAAACATCTGCGCCATGTAATTGACTATGCAGTATAGGTATAATGAAAATTTTCAGAGTATCTCATTGTTATTAAAATAAATTGTCGACAAATTTTAAATCAAAGTGAAACACCGATTGAAACTAGTTGAATTAATATCCATTAATTTTAGTAGTATAAGAACTATTTGAAGCATAATATAAATAAATAAACATAACATCATGGCAAATAAAAAATTTTCTTTTTTGAATTATTAAATCTAAGATTTTTTAAAGCCAATTCCATAATTATAATAATTAATCCAAACTTAAGTTCAGATCGTAAAATCAATTATAGTAAAAATGTCTCGAACTTTTGTTCAAAACTTTATCTTGGTTTAAAAAAATCTCTTTAACCATTTGGTCAAGAGATCTTCAATAATATTCTATCCAAGTTTTTAAGAAGCGATTTTCATTTTAAAAATTATTTAAGCAGGACAATTTGTCCAGTAATGTACAAATGTTCCCTTGCCAAAACAAAAAATCCATCATCAGATTCACTGCCTACAATTTTCTCGCATGCACAAGCTTATCTATATCTTGATAAGTAGCCAGCATCGCTTGATTCTGTCTAACGGTCTGATCATCTCTGGCGCTGTCACATTCAGCATAAGCATCTTCGCATCTAATACCATCTTGACCATCCTTTGCAGCCTTCATATATCTAAAGAATCTAAGGACATCAGGATTGTCAGAGCTTGGTTTTCGTAGTTCGTTTAACTCGCGTGACAATTGCGCTGAGACAAGATTAGAGTAAGGAGCGTAACGCGCTGGACTTCGGTACATTGCACAAACAGCATATTCACGACAGCCTTCACTATTATGTCCCAATCGAGCGAATACCGCGTCAAGTCTCGACAGAAGCGGCGAATAGAACGGATCGTAATTGGTTAGCAGCAATGAACTTGTCGGGATCTCGTGAAATACCTGCAATGAGTTCCAGAATTAGCTTTGCTCGCGGTCGTTAGAAACAAAATTATTAAGTTCAAGGTTTTCTAGGCCAGTTGTGTCCTTTTGAGCATGAAAATAGAGACGAGACGTTGCTTGGTCAATTTATGTATCGACAAGATATTCAGCGCAGTTCGCTATACCTATACACAAATGTTTTGCTTTGGTTTTTTTCAAATTCTGAAAATTCTTTCTGAAAAACAAGTAATTTGGCAAAAATACAGATCATATCGATTACCGCTACTTAATATCCTTTAATTCATTTAGAAATATGTCAAGTAATTTGATTATACCATTCAATCATCAAATCACAAAAGCACGAGTCGACCACATTCTAGAATACTATCGAATCACGTTCTATAAACCATCATTCATAACTATAATCAGATGACAATCAAGTAGCGACCACAGCCCGAAGAAGAAAAAAACCGTTACCTTTACTGTCGCTCTCGAGGCAATCGATTATAAGTATTAGTATAAAAAGAAATAGAATTTATTGCTCAAAAGAGAAGATAAAAGTGCGTAGCGTATAACTGTATTGTTCCCTCACCTTGAAATCCTGTCTCTTGGCGTATGGATTGATCATGTGTCTGGTATAATATCGATCGGCAAGTGCATTCATCGGAGAAATTCTCGAATCGACGAATCCATAGCGCGATGCAATCTCTGGAGCTTTTGTTTGCAACATACTCTCGTCGTACATTACCGACGCTGGTAAAGTACCCAATGGCTGGCGATTCATATAGTCATCGTTGTATGCATCGGTATTGTCCTTGAACTCGTAGTTCTCCTCCATTTGCTGACCTGGCTGATGCGACGACTGTGCGAACGAGGATACGCCTGCGAACGCATTAGAAAGTTGGCATCGTTTGACATAACCTGTTGCATGCTTCTTCACGTTTTAGAGTCAATGTATCCCGTATATATATGTGTGTGTGAGTGTGTGCGTGCGCGCACGGATTTTATTCTGGGTGATACGCGTTTTGTCTCGTTGCTCAACGATTCTGAATTTTTTTTTGCCCGTGCGTAAATTTTACATACTTTGCTGTCTCTTATTAAAAAAAACGTTAACTTATAAATTTTTGTAATATATTCAAAGTTAAATTCATAATTTTAGTTAATATTTGAAGGAAATTTTGAGTGATTCATGTATTTGAATATTTGAAACACTTCTTTTGAGTAACATCCAATTCATTTGTTAAATTTAAGTTACGACATGATACGCGTTCAAAAGGAAGACCGTCACCATTTATTTTAGTTTCTATAACGTTTTGATTAACGAATGCCCCAATTAATATCGAGGTCGGTTTTAATTTATTGAAGCTCAAAAGTTTCCGAGATTATAGTTAAGTACTTTCTCAATACATTGGAATACGTCATTAGAAATGCAATATATTTGAAGAATCAATCGTTACATCCTAATTTCCAATACTTTGCTTAACGCAACTTTTTCAAAACGTAAGACACATGTCAAAAGCATAATATATACTTCACCAATACTTAGACAGATTATTCATCTGACCTTTTCCAACAATTTTCCCAAGACTTCCAATGATACTTGGCAGGAACAAGGCTATTAGTATACTCTTGACAATCTGTACGCCAATGAAGATCGGTAACAGCAATTTCTTCAGACCAAACGCTAGAAAACCAAGCCCGAAGCCTGTTAAAAAGGTGCTCTTACCCTGTGAAAAAGCTGAAAGCAAAAGTACCGGCCAATTATAGCAATGATGTTAGTTTATCTCAAGCCATGCTGTGTGTTTATAACGTTTTCCGATGATACGTCTTGTTGATGTCTCTTTCTGCTTCGGATGATAAGATTTCCTCTCTGGTAACTTAGGTGAACTCTTTTTTAATCTCGTAATGTTGAGTTAAAATTTTTGTTTGTTATTAAAATTTGATGTTTGAATCAGGAAATTTACAATTTTGTTATAACTTGCAAATGTATCTGTTCATTAAAGGATGCATTGTAATCTTTTTCCACGAAAACTCGACAAGAGTTATTAGAATTTTAAAATATGCGTTCATAAAGTATTGATATAAAATTAAAATCTGACTAAATTAAACGTTGACGGCATTAGCAATTTACAGAAGTCATCACAATGTGTTATATTAAGACTTTCATTGACTAAAAATATGTCGTGAACGTTTCTTAGCTCAAGAATTGCTACTCGAATGGCGTCCGGTTAATAATTATGCCGAAATGTATTTTTAAACAAATAACTTAGTTAAAATTAACCGAACATGTATTAAAATTCTTTTCATGTAAATTACTTTTTACGGCGTCTTCGGTACTAATGATCGTTCTTTTCCGTCCGAAATGAGTAAGTTTGCCATCTACTATTCGCATTCTTAGTAAAGTTCAATAGCAATGCTTAACAATCTTACTTGTTGATTACTTGAACAATCGAATTTCGAATTTTATATAGTTCTATTTATTTAAACTACCAAATAAAAAAACACTCCGCTTTATTAGATGACATCCCTCAAATAAATTATCATTCACGTGAGAAATGCTCGTCGTGAAAGCTCGGCAATGCGTACGTGTTATGGCGCTCTACAGCAAAAAAGCAGAGATGTGAAGACTACTTGTAGTAAATAGTTGGCAACAAAAGTATAGCAATAGTGTAGAAGAGTAGTGAAACGCTTTGAAATTTGTACTTGTGTTTGTTGAAATTGCAAGCTTGTTATAAATCGAGTCATTTGCGTCACATTAGTCCATTAAAGTTACTGTACTTTAGAAAGCCTGAGCAGTATTGTATGGATGAAGTGTGTGGGAGTAAAGCGTGTTTATTCTATCTAAGCTTAATTCATTAGAGTCTATTTTCCACTAGTAGGCAAAGTCAATTAAAAAAATTTTGAAGCTTGAAAGAATAGAGTTTGATAAGTGTTATAAGCAGTTTTTTGTAACTATTCGTTGAAGTTGTAATTTTCAAATTTACGACCGATATTGAATAGTTCTTAACGTTGTTTGTCAAATTTTCAGATGGAATAGTTACATCCGGCTATTTAAGGCTTGCGGCGTATACTTTAAGTAACGGTACTTTTTCACCAGGAATAACTTAAAAAATTCTTGGAAATGCCTATCAAAATATTGTAATGTAAAGTCAACAGTTAAATCAGACATTTTCACTGAAGATACACACTGGGTAAGGTGATACGTTGCGTCTCATATACTTAAGTGCGCAATAGAATAACTGTTATTTTTGAGTTGCAAATTTTCTTTTATCAAGTTTCGCTACATATTCATTGCGAAGAAATTATCCAATATCGTTCATAAAAAAAAGAAAAATAACATTATTTTTTACAACTTACCACCAAAAAACGTTCTCGATTCCGTTGGCGGAAGTAAGTCTTTCGCCAAATTAATCTTGACTACATGATTACGCGCGTACCTGTGTATCTCGTCCACTAATGACGTATGATTAACATTATCTAAATTGTTTAAATCACCATTTACTTCGCTATCTAGCTTCTTGACAATTTGCACCGAGTCTGAGACATTTATTGTGTTTACAGTTGATACTGTCCTTAAATAGCTTTTGATTCTTTTCTCTACGCACTTCACTGATATTGTTCCTTCGTTGCACTTAAGTGTCTTTAAGTGTTGACCACTTTTTTCCTCCTCGGCGGTCGTTGGGATCGTCGTTACTTCCAGATTCTTGGAAATGAAAAGATATTGATGAGTTTTAGTAGGATGAAAGTCGGATTTGGTGGACCTTATCGTTTATAAGTAGGACATTCGTGTTAAATTTCTCAGTTATACCGTATAAATAGCCCGATGTTCCAACATTTTTAAGAAGAACGGTATTGTGTTATTTTTCATTCTCATAAGTAAAATTTTACCAAATGAAATTTCATAATTATCTATATTTTTCCAAAATTAATTACTACGGACATAGCTATAAATATCAAATACTACCTCTATAAAATCATTTCATCATCTAAAACTTAGAAATATGTTTCAATCTCTCGCGTTAATGGAAAATGATATTAGCTAGATTTTCAATCCACATGCTATTAATCTGAAAAACATGCCACGTCTTGACCCGAAAAAACATAGTTTGCAATCAAGGCAAGATTAACCTGACCCAAAATCACTGAATCCCATCTTTTCCTCATATATAAATATTATTTTTCGAATTACATATTTTCACTTACGATGACAAAGTTATAAAAAAAAAAATTATACTCACCCGATCGCTCTTCTCTTGTAATCGAATCCTTTCAAGTTCATGAGCATCTTTGTCATCTGTCTCAGAATACTGACTAACATCGAGATCAAGCTTGCTAGGTTTGTTGAGCGCCAAATGAGGATGCTGCTGGTGCTCCCTGTCGTTTCTTTTGAGACCATTGTCGGAACTACCACTTGTGAGATCGATGGCCTTGGCTCGAGATGCACTTGCAACGCCTACATTCAGCAGCAACGTGCACAAGGCCAAACATTGGAGGATGATCGTCAGGCGTGGCATTGTGCTTGTCGCCTTACGCATCATCCCGTCGCCCCTTTTATACTTTCTGCAGCTTTAAAAAGATTTGAAGTTTATAAGTCACACGGCTAATAGGTAATTCTTTTCATATTTATTCAAACTGGACTAATACTTGAAAGAAAGCGGTAATGGTATAGTTCAATATTTACACTGGCATACATGACAAGAACCGAAATAAATCAAAGTACTGTACGTTCTTTTTTGCTTGAAAAAAAAACTTACTAACTGAAAGATACAATTAAACAATAATTTATTGGTTTTACGCGAACTTCCAGTTAAACGTACAAAAAAAAGTAAATGACAAGATACTGAATGCTGAACAATGCAGGTGAAAGCACTTGCTATACATCGGAAAAACTTGAGTGGGCCATTACAGCGTTGGAATCGGAATGATCAACGTATATTTCCTAGCTACTGCTCTCCTTTTATTGACTATTAATTCGATTTGCATGCAATGTTGAATCGACTTTTTGATGCCATCGCTTGATTTATATATTTATTCGATTTCTTTGAAAGGGTCTCTCATGAATTTACCTTGATGCCATGGACGAAATAAAAAAGTTAGCACTTTGTACATGTATCATAACGGGGAAGAAATGTATACTGATGATTAAATTCAATCAGGGTTAACATCAAGCAAACAGTTACAGTTAAACTAATTAAGACTCGACGATTCAATTTTATTGAAATCTGACAAAATTTACGTTCCATTAATATTCAATCGTATGCAAATCGTCAAATTAAAGCTGACGAGCTTAATTAGCCGAAAAGTCCGTCTAATTGTGAGATATATCACAGAGCAGTACCATAATAACTATTCATTAAAAAAAATCGAACAACAAGTAGTGCCACTGACACTGGGTATTTAGCATACAATCGAGCTTTTATTCTCATTTATAAAGGACAAGAAAAATCCTTACAAGTTGATTTTGTGTTGACTTCTGTCTGTGGGGCGGTACGCCTCAAGAGTAGCAACTCATCGTGTCGATCTCGAGATTCCGCTGCTTCCGCCTCGTGATGCTGCAACAGTTCATTTTCCATTTCAATTCAGGGTTTGTTTTTCTATAGTGTGGTGACGAATAATGCCTCTGAACTTTTCTCCTAGTTATCTAATGTCTCATTGTCTTTACCGCTAGACGTTTTTGTCTAGGAATTGACATTCAATGTTTTTTTTATGTTAATTGACATGACTTTATGAGACGGAATGGGAAACTACTCATCAGTTGTAACTGTTTTGTGAATTAATAATACTCTTAGATTAAAAACATTGTCTGTGACTTCACGCTATACTATAATCAATTCTACTTAAATACGAAACTCATTAGCTCTGAATTTAGTTGAACCTCACACTTTATTATATCAACATTTATTATACTTACGCTTTACCGATCAAGACAAAGACAACTCGTAACACTACGTCAATACTAACCGATTTATCTTAATAAAACAATCAAATGAAAACAACTTTCACAAAATATAAATATCGCGACCCTACTTAAACAGTAAAGCAAACCGGTGTGTAAATCCGATTTTCCGCGTCAAGTTATTTTAACAAACCTTGCATTTTAGAAAGTGTAACAAACTACGCTTACTTAATTTTTTCCTTACAAGCATCCCAAGCTTTTCCTCGATTAGTTAGTGCAAGTTTTAGGACACATACTTTGTTAGTCGATTGAAAAACAAAAATTAATTTCTTTGGTGGCTGAGTGGAGCGTGCTACATAAGATTTTGCCGCAAAACCTCGCTGTTCTAAATAAATTGAATGAGAATAAAGCATTAACAAAAAAGCGAACTAAGAAAATGTCTATTGCTCCGGGTTAAGAACAGGACTTTAAAGCATAGTATAATATTTTTATTTCAAGACTTATAAACATCGATAAGTACAGAAAAGTTTCATGGAAAAATGAGTTTCGCTAGAATGATCTGAAGTACTGTTATATCTCATGTGTTAAAAAGGTGCAGACATTATACTTTTTGTTGGATTATAATTGATATTGTATAAATAAGGAAGCAAGTCACGTAGTCATTAATTACCATCTGCAAAAAGTAACAGCGCTAACGCTTAACCACTTTAATCCCATACAAATGCTAATATCCTGAGAATCTTGCAATTATACTAATTAGTTTTACATTCTAGAGTTCCATATCATTTGACCGACACGTTATTGATATTGTTGTTTCTTCCCTTTTGCTGGATATAATACATTAACGCACATTCCGATCCACTTCTCAAAATTCTACTTTTGAAAATAACCCGCTAGATTTACATATGAAAAATACACACAACAATCACAGAATCAATAATGACTTTCTATTTAAATGATTCGAAAGTTTCTTCCAGATGAGACACACGCACAAAATGTATTATAGCGTGCGCGTAAGCAACACAATTATGTAGGCCATGTTCCAAAGAATTCGGGAAACTTGAAAAACGAGAACCTGCTTTGGGCGGCCATTACCCGCCGAACTCTCACTCGCTTCTTTCTTTCTCTTGTTGCCTTTAATGTATTCTAATTGCGATTATCCATGTCAATGTCGATGTACTATCATCGTGCTTAGGTGCATTGTAACGTTTTCGACTACGTGAGCTTCTTCCATCTAAACCGGCTGAAAATGTTCTTTTCATTTTCCTATCGAATTTTTCCGAAATGTTAACTGTCATCTTTTAAATGATATTACAGGGATCTGATGAAAAGTAATATTAAATAAATGGTACTACAATGAAATTCTATAAACATTAATTCGGCCTATAATTACAAATATAAGTTTGATGATTTTCCCCGCGAATGAGATTAAAACACAATTATCATGAATTTTTACCAAAACTTAATTATTAAAAAGAGTATTATTGATAAAAACATGAATTCTGGTTTTTTTTCACCACAGCCCAGTAAAAATAAACAAAATAAATGCTACTATCATTTTAAATCCAATATTACCACAGCTAAATATCAATACAACTTAATCATTTTATATGTAACAATAGAAAAATATGTATTACATGATAATTTGCCAAGCAGACGCATGCAAATTAATAACCAAAAAAGGAATCAATAAAATAATTAAGATCCTTGTCAACTGCAAAAGTAACGTAGCATAATGGTAGAAGCATTAATAAATAAGAGTCTTCCTCGAAAGCATATCGCACGCGCTTGGCACAGAATTAATCGCCATTAAATAAACGTATGTGGAACAAACGAATAAATTATCCGGGCAAGCAATCCCATATGAACGAATCGCACACAAGATGTTCTAGGTCGCAAACGTATACGAAATAATAAAAAAAAAAAAAAACAAGCACACCGCTAGCCTATACGTACATCCGGTGCCGGTAGCGAAAAATCTTCCACAACAAAAACAAAAAATACTCACCTGGACATTTCCTAAATCAAAATAACTCAGCTAAGCAACATTATATTACGCCACAATTAACAAAATAAAAAGAAATATCGCGCAAATTAAAAGCAGTTGTAGGCGCACATTCACGAACGAAAGAAATGTCGCCTCAAGACGGCGGACGACGCGGTACTGGCAAGTCACTGACTGCCTTGACTCGAGCGAGGCTCACGATCTGGGTTACCCGGCCATCCGTCCCGCGCCTTACGTCTTTGCGCCTCCGCTGTTGCTGTTGCTGCTGCTACACGTTGCCACGGCCAACGGCAATGTGTTTATTATACTCTCGAGCCGAAAATTCTTTGGAGGAATAGGTATTTTGGTTGATTAAGGTGGACGATAACCACGAGAATAGTGAGATTGCAATGGCCAGTAGATGAGGTTGACATTTGGTCAGACAATTAATTATTTTATAATTTTGTCGAATATATGTAATCGTGCATCAAAAAAGGTAGTTCTAATTATTGAAAGTATCATCAAAATTTGATTTCATTTCAATGCAAATAGTAAATCCTAAACTGAAGAAAAGAATATATATATATATATATATATATATATATAATTTATATATACTATATATATATATATTATATATATATATATAATATATATATATATATATAGTATTGATTTACAGATAAAGATAAATGATCGCTTTTGAATATTCATTAATATTTCTCATGTTACGAGTAGTTTCAGGTTGGTCATAAAAGAAACTCGGTGCTTTTCTCTGAAGTACCTTATGTAAGCAATTTATCTATCACCACAGCTTAATAATGCAAATAAATTGTTTAGCAAAATGAACTACATATATATGAAGGTGTAAAAAGTCTATATAATTTAATTTACTTTCATCAAAAAAATCTCAATAACCAAAAATAGCTACCATGCTCTCGTGAAATTTTTTACGATGGTTATAACACGAGAAACCACGTTATATTTTACAACATACCTGCGTTAATGGAATCCATAACTTCATTTTTACGAGTGACGTTAAAAAAGTTTACCGGACGTCGATTGTATATCTCAATTAATGAATACCATTCATTTCTATCCTCGCAAAGATATTGGACTTCTTTTTTCACAGGTAAAAATTTTACAATAGATTTGAAAGCCTTGTTACGCAAATTACAATTAATTAGAGACACATACGTTTACCCACTTCGAGCTATTCAATGGAAAATTTTTTCATTCATCGGAATGACCTTTGATTGCTATTTACAGTTCGCTGTTGATATCGGTAATTTTGCTTTTTCTTTCACCGTGAATCCATTGATCTTCACTTACTGGTGAACCGATTACTTTGTTTTTTTAAGCGTATAAATTGTGACAGTGAAAGGAGTTACTCCATCTGAGAAAGGATCGCCTCTCGTAACTCATAATTAAAATTCTTTTACACTGTTTCTCAACTACGCCAATCTGCTAATCTATCATTACATTTATCTAATTTAGTTGTCAACAGACGACAAGTTTATTTAACCAAACGTATGGATAGCAACAAAGAGTTTAAATCACCATTCATTCGTGGATAGTTCATTAATCTATTCGAGCATTTGTGCATTCATTTGCTTTACAACGTCGGCAACTATGTATAATGTAGTTTCTATTTCCATATCACTTGTTGCTGCAGCCGACAAGTTCACGCGCGTGAGGCTTAATTTAACGCGCGCTTTCTTCTATGTATGGTACACAAAAGAGGATAATCTTTCCATAAACCAGACCAAGACGCTTTGAATTTGCCAATAGGGAAACTTGCGTCTAATACAACGCTTTCAAATGAGAATGTAAATGGAATGTTATATACGAGTGAAATAAAATTGTTTATTTTGTTTTTCTTTGTAAAAGTAAATGTTAGGTATGAATTCCCTTTTCTTCATATTGATTGTAGCAGTTTTTGCTGATCTATAACTTCACTTCATATATTTTTCAATGAACTTTAACTTAATGGCTTCTAAAAATTTTAGTAGCAACTGTTTCGTCACAAAAGAGCAGTCAGATTTTTTCAGATTACTTATATAAATTTTGACTTTAGTTGCTTTAATAAACCACTAAGTTAACACTTATGTAAACAAAAATAAAAACCCTTTCATAAATTATTTGATTTAAACATTCATCGTTGACTTTGGAAGAAAAATTGGCATAGTAGAACATATTGTTACACAAAGGCTCATTTTACAATCGCTATTGTTTCCTTAATTTTTCTAATTTCGTTAATAACTATTAATCTTATACCAATATTTTAGTTATTAACCTACATACCAACTTTAACTGTTATTACATCTCTATAGTTTTCAGTGTCTTCAACAAACACGCACAAGGAAAAAAGAACTTGTCTATTATATTAATTCTAAAATAAAAGTAAATCTAGCAAAGTCATCGTGCCTGTGGCGGTGGAAATTCCAACGTACTTGATCGCGAAGAGAAACTCTCCTCGCCATCAGGGTCCAGCGAGCGTGAAAACAAGATATGCGCTGGGAATCGAGAACCCATTGTAATCATGAAGCGAATGGCTATCTTTTGATTACAGGGCGCATACTTTCCTGGCAAACGCCGTAATCGCAAAAATATATCGCACAAGGAAAGGAGTCATATTCTTCTAGCGAACTTATAAAAGAAATTGTACAGGTGCATGAAAACTAAGGTAATTTAAAACTTGCCAGCATTTCTGATTGTCAAAAAGTTGTCAAAATATTTTACAGTGTGTGTGAGATGTGAATTTAATAAAAAATTTTGAAACGACGTTATTAATATGTAAAATGATAAAATTTATGGCGTATTTCGATTGTTCACGATGTAATTCACTTTGCTTAATCACGATAGCAATTCATTTCATTGTGATAATTAAGATGCACTGGTAATGTATATGAGTTCTCATTAATTTATTTCCTACGTTATATGAACCTTAAAAGAATGATTATATGCAGATTGTATTCATGGATTTCGTCGTTCCAATAGGATATCTTCGTGTGCATTATAAAATCGATATAGAATATCAAAATTCTTACATAGTCAAATCTGAACTTGAATTATATAGAAAATGTTGTAACAGTGTATTATCGCAGCTCCTTTTATTTCGCACTTATGATTACAAATTTCCACCGTAAAAAATTTACCATGCAATGCCTCTACTATTAATCTATCACAGTAAACTAAAAATGATTGCCAATTACATATTTCGCTCCATTATAACCGTCAACACAAAAGAAGTCTTAACACAAATCAAAAAAGAAGTAGTCACGCATCTGCCGAATCGCAAGTCACTGAACTAGCTCGGGCAGTAGCGCACATCCATCAAAGTTGGCGCTTGCGGTGACCAAAGACACACACACACACACGCGCAGGCGCACACACACGCATTTGATATTTGCGCTTGCGCAGAAAACGGCAAAAGTCCATCCGTTAGGTTAAATGTGACACATACACGCATACATAGGCGTGTAACGGTTGACTCGATGCACAGCTCCGTATCGCCGATATTGATGATGAAATTATTGTTATTTAGTCGTCAGTGCGAAACAATATGCGCGGAAAAAGCGTGTTCGATATTGGTTTGTGTGTGACATTTCTTTTCTTTTTATATACGATTGTTAAAATACAATAACGGTTCAGCCTATTTCTCAAAATCTGTACACTGTGAACTTTGTTTCTCGTTGATTCCTGTGAGGTAATTTTTATGGCATTTATACAAATCAAAATGATTTCTTCGAACTTATGAAAATATGTTAAAAGGCTCTGGTTTAGCTAAAAGGGCTTTATGAGTAATAAAAATTACTATTTCCTGTTGAGTGTTTGAAGCGTTCTATCTGTTTTTTAAGTGATAAAATCCATACGAATGAAATAAGTTTCTGAAACGATTATTCATTGGAATAGAAATGCAAAGAAAGATTTTTTGTAATTGTTTCCTGCTCATCAAAAGCTAAACTTGTAATCAAAGTCGATTACTGTTTCGAAGAAAAATTACTGAAGTATATACGGGTTCAGATAACTCATTTGCGAAATGATTACATTGCGATTCATTGAAACCCGCATTTACATCGCTCATCGGTATAAAGTTGTAACTTAATTGAGCATGAAACATAGCGCGATAATGTTATAAAATTTACACTGTATAATGTACTAAGTTTAACATTTTTAAATTGGGTTACATTTAAATTTTCATATTTTTTAAAACCCTTAACAACTCAAGTATCAAAATTATTACCGAAATACTCCATTTTATATGAAACCATATCTCACCTTGCAGATCTAGGTCATGTAATGGAAGAGTATCATATTTGCCAGAGCCCAAAAAAATATATAAGAACATATTTCATGTAGGATTCACATGTTTATCCTTGAACCCGATACACCAACTTTTACAGGTTATAACCGCTTGTCAAGTGGTAACGAGTCAACCAATTTTCAGGCAAATGGACTTATCGAGGCTGAAAAGTCGATCACCATCCGGTTGTCAAGAAACAAAATCTGTTAGTGGGTCAACGGACATGAATGGGCCAGTGGACGCACGCGCGCATGTGACCTTGACCACGCGGCGAAATACTTTCGCGTATACGTGGTGTTGGTAATATGTATTTCGAGTATACATACGCGTGTAAATCTATTGATGATTATCTTCATTTCATGCAATTTAACACTTGAATCATTGTTCTTTGATGCTTATGGAGATTGCAACTTTAATTTTCATTGCTGGATATTTCAAATTGCAAGAAAGTATGCCGACTGTAAGACATCTGAATGTAATTTTTACTTTATTTATTTTTATTTTGAGGTGATCAACAATTTTGTTCTCGGAAACAGCGTTGTCTCTGGAAAATTTTTTCGCAGGATCCCTAGAAATTATTGCATTATGTTAAATAGGATAATTTTTACAGACTGAAAAAAAATTTTCCAACGATAACGCTGGTTGGAAGGGTTATTTATTTAAATATAGTAAATGTTTTTAGGAGAAAAACAATCGTCTACTATAACATACGAGTATGTAGTCTTGAAAATCACAATCTCCTCAAAAAATATAAAGCATTCCACCAATCCTGTTAGTATTGTTTTTATTCATCTGCCTCTCACGTGTCTGATTCTTGACAAAAACATTGCATGTAGTAATAAGTCGACGAA